AAAGCCCAACTGAATAACTAATGAACCTGTCCTCTAGATCGCTTGAATCGTTTGATCTGGTAAGAATAACCAACTTCCTGGGCGTCCTGTCATGCTGGAGCTTGCCTGTCTTCTTCATCCTTTTAGCTACGAAGAGTAACTGGGTTTCGATTTATCTTCTGAGATAACATTGTTGGGGGACTTTGATTTCGTGTGAAAATTCATGAAGAAGAGATTCGTAGGTCTGAATCCCGTTCTACTGCAGCCGTTTGGCTTTTATATGACGTTCAGGCTGACGCAGTCCATGAGACCTACTCGCTCGTTATGGGTGAATTCATTCTTGTAAAAGTCTCAAGTTGACACGGGCAATAAGATTATCAGGCTCCATCTTACCTCTTATCTAGACTCAATTAAGCAAAATAAAATCTAAATGTCTAGATGGATATAGAATGGTTTGGCTAATTATCTTTCGTATTGGTCCTACTACTTTTGTTCGAATGTCTGTGTGTGTGTGCGTGTATGTGTCTTGACGCCAACACACAATACCGGTCCTAAATCAGTGTTCAAAAGACTAGTGTTAGGCTCTGGTCATCAAGGCTTAATGACCCAAGAGAAAGTCCTGACCGAGACTACGTAAGCAAGTATGGTTGAGATAATGAGACGAAATCACCTTTCATAACCTCTCAGTCTAGGGTCATTAAGGTTTAACTATCCAAGTAAAAACATGACTGGGGTTTCGTAATTTCGTACGTCTGGCTTGGTTGATGAGCTTAATCTAACATGTTGGACGAGTATGAGTGAAGTTGGAAGCATCACTGGAAGGACAAGTTGAGTCGTCTTCTTCTAGATAGCGGCTCATCCCCCTCTCTCCCTTAATCTATCAATCAAGCATAAGTGGTTCTTGCTTAACTTTATACCACCATTCTTTACATTCAACGTATTCCTTAATCTATTAATTTCAATAGCCTCTCTTATCTTTCTTTTAAGAGCAGACGTCCCAAACCATTATATATCTATCTAGGCTTTTTAATTTTCTTTTGCCTGTGAGGTAAGATAGAGCCGTATAGTCTTCTTGCCCTAGTGTTAACCTGAGATTTTGACAAGAACGAGTTCCGGCTCTGATGATGTCCATCGAATGATGGACGAAAGCTTATCCCGTTTTCCTCTTAAAACGAGGGAGAAGGTCGCGTGGACTGCGTCAACCTGGACGCATAAAAGCCAAACGGCTGCAGTACAACGCGATTCAGCCATCCTCTTCTGGTGAGATCGACCTACGAATCTCTTCTTCATGCACTTACTCTCATACCAAATGAAAGTCCCCCCCAACAAATTCATCCTTTTAGCCGAAGCACCAAGTTGACTTGACGTCCAGGGCTGGATTGTAATCGAGCTGTTTCTCTTTTTCTCCTCATCTCTTTTGTCTCAGACCCTGCGGACCCCTTCTCTCTGTCGCTCCTGCCTACATAATCGGCGGCAATGATCCGGCACCACTAAGTCAGCAGACGATAGCTGAGGTGGAGGAAGAGCAGGAGCAGGAACAAGAGCAAGTTGCTGTTGTTTCGAATGACAGTGCTTTGGGCGCGGCGATGGTTGCCGGCATTTTGCAGTCGTCTGCTGTCGCCGTGGTCAGGTTGACTGGTACCAAAGTGCCGATGCCGTTGAAGTCTGGTAGTTCGAATCGTCGCGCCGAAGCGATGAAAGTGCCTCCCAATTGGTTTGTCCGGAAGCCGACTCCGCCGACTCTACCGACTGCGGTGCCCGAACGACTCGGGCCGCTGGTCGACAGGTCGGACTTCCTTTCTCCCACGGCATCACAACAGCCCCAGTCGGCATACTTGCCTGCCTTGGTGGTACCGCAGCATTCGCCTGGCTACCATCGCTTCGCATGGTTGTTCCGAAGGAAGCAGCACCAGCACCAGCAGCGGCCTCGTGATGAGGCTGAGCAGATGGGCCGGCAACAGATGGACAAGGCGACAAATATCCTCTTGACGGCATTAGGGGACAAACCTTCCGGGCGGGATGATGATTCAGTTCTAGAACTAGAACTCAGGAAGGAGGTGATCCTCGGGGCACGAGACGGACTAGACGGTGGGCACGACCACGACGAATCGGTAGTCTTTCTTTTCAATGAACCAACTTCCATTTGCACTCTTATTTAGACCAGTTGGGTAGCCGGACTCAGATCAGGCTCTTCATGATGGTCTTATTGTGGAGACCTTTTTGGTCAATCCCATCGGAAGACGACGGATGAACCCCGTTGTTGTTCAGCCTCAATGCGACCTGCGTGTTGACGCAGTCCACGTGATATGTTGCCTCGTTTCGCCTGAAAAAGGGGCCGAACTTTCGTCTGTCCTGCCAATTAACAGACATCCTCAGAGCTGCAACTCATTCTTGCAAAAAACTTCAAGTTGCCACAAAGTTTAGCAGACTCTTTTGACTCTATCTTCCCACATGCTTTATCTGCCCATAACTAGGAAGGATAATATGTGCATGGCAATAGATGCATATAGAATGATTTAGTTATTGTATGTGTTTTTGTGTCACACTCATCTCTCCTTGCAAAACTGCTGACAAATGACAAAATAGGCATCCAATTGTCTAACAAACAATTTTCGGAAATGTTTTCACCTCGTTTTCGCAACTTGGTCGTGTTGTCAAAACGAGGTGAAACCACTTTGATGCAGCGAAACAGACTGTGGCCAAAAAAGATGCCACCACCTCTTGGTCTTCATATCTGCGATTAAACAATTTTTGGATTCACAATTACCTTTTCCATCAACTCCTCCTCAAACTTGGCTATGAAGTTATTCGTCAAAATGGGGGTTCGTCAAGATGCTATCACAAGTCCTTGCGGCTATTCACACAACTTGTCGTCAAACGGGGAGTAAGTATTACTCGCCGATAGGATAAGAAAGCCTAGAATGGAGGCTATACTAAAAATCGTTCGTTCCGCAATAGCTGAATGCCTTCCAAGGTTCCCTGTTGGTTCACCATTTTGACACAGACATAAGCGTTTTTAACCGAAAATACCCGCACTTCGCCTATACTCTTTCCAGTAGCAATTCCACAATGTCCTCCAAAAAGGGTTTTGTCATAGCAATAATTAGCTTGGTTTGCAAAATTTTTACAATTCCTTTTTAAATTTTGTGTCCGATATACTAAGTCCCTCGACCGGAGCCTAATGTCCAACTGTTTAAGCCCAACGAGAAGAGATTTGACAAAATTCGGACCATACCTACCTTGTATATAGGAAGAATAGCACATATATACACACAAGTATATGTACTCGGACTAATAGGAGAGAATATACACCAAATTATTCTATATCTATTTTCATTATGAGTCATTTTCAAATCAAATTAGTTTTATCGAATGTATTAAGGCCGAGATGATGTAGCCTTTTGTATGGTCTTCATACCTTCGATTAAACTATGAAAGTAAGAGTGCTAAATAATACACCGATTACAGCCGGACAAAGAAAACAATTGTAAGTCAATCCTACCACTAGACCTTTTTGAATTGTTGCAAATATTATCATATCGATCTCCGATTCTGCAATCGAATGAGGAAGTGTCATTTGTACATGGTTAGTAAAATACTTTATTACGCCTCTATCCAGAAATTAGAGGAAAGTTACGAGACTGAAAGGCGTAAGCTATTTAAATTTATGGACATTAAGTCTAGAGCTATGCAGGGTTCTCGCTCTGAATGCTTAGCTATTGGATAGTAAGACAACGAAAGACCAAGGCAACCCGGTCAAATTTTGATGGTTCTGTATTGAAGGCATCAACTGCTAGGTAGTAAACCTATCCTTAGTTCCTCTTTATGTTGAAACCATGGATCTGCGAAAGAAGGGGTAACATTTTTCCATAGGTAACGAAGGAAACGCTCTTAGTGATATCAAGTTATCAACGTATGGAAGTTATCAACATATCGAATAAATATCCAGAAGATACAAAGCGGGAGATGGAAATGGAAATTATCCCACGGCTTCTGGCATATGGAGGACCCACACACAGGAGCGGATTGACTGGCATACAGGCAAAATGGCAAAAGAATGACCAAATACTTCTTCGGATGGATGAGGGAGGA